ACTTTGTCAAACGAACGACAGTGCGTGTATTCGACGTGGGAACAGACACGGTGGGAATGTTCCTATCTTCGGTTACTTTATCGCGTGGAACGCGTGTATTTTCAAAACAGCACACGATACGTACATTCGAAACAATTAACATGGAAAAAGCTTTGCGTGAAACGAATCGACCTTTGGGAATACATTTTTCCACGTCTTCTAACATGAACACTGCACCGCAGAATAACCTTATTTCACAGCAGTATTAACTGTTAACTATTCGAAGTCTGTAATTGTAAGTGGAAACGGTGTAGCCAATATATGTATATCACAGCCATGAATTAATGTGTTAAACGGCGACAGCCATTGGATATAGTCGCGCTTATGATTACGGCAGTACGCTTAAAAGCCATTTGAATCGTAGGTTCGCTAAAATTGTTACAGTCTTTCATTAAAGTTCTATGGCATTAAATCTTTGCCATATCTGACATATTAAAATCAATGTCCTCGTACTTTTATGTGTACTACGTGTATACTAATTTATAATATTATATTATTATATTATTTATATTTTGTGATACGAAAATAAATCAGATGAAAAAAAAAAATAAAATTTACAGATAAGTATAAAAATGTATCGACTATACGCTATATGTCTACTAATGACCCGCTATAAGCGAAAGCAATTATAAGATTTGTTGGTTCTATGATAAATCAATGGCTCGGGAACCTTAACAAGGTAAGCACTTGTGTTTACATTTTGAGCAAACTTCAGTACAATACAATTTAGTTAAGGCTATCTTCCTCGAAACAAATCATGTAAATTGATTGACCTACTGGCGAAATTGGATTGTTCAGGGAGCTATTCAGTAAGATACATACGCCAGTTGGACGAATTGGGTAATAAATCTTGAAACAAACTCTTATATCGTGCAATGGTAATTGAACGATTAGATAATAGAATTATTGTTTGTTTTTATTGTTATTATCCGAATAAAGTAAAGCTTTCCTCGATGGAAATACGGAGAAAGCTTATAAAAACTCAAAATATTGATTTCGAAAAAAGTTTTAGGAGGCAAAATAGGAATAAAGAAATTACAATGACGCAAGTAAGACGCATAGGTGTACTTTACTTCGCATAATATTCTGATCACCTCTATGGTTTTTGATAAATCAAAAAATATTTTCCTTGTAGACGATATAGTTTGAGAGAATCTTCAAGACGATGTGATTAGATTTCTTCCATGTTTGCTCTCAAAATAAATGTTCAAAATTATTTTCGTTTCTTTCATATGATTTAAAAGATATTACTAAATCGATCTGTTCTCAATGTCTGAATTAATAACGATAGAAAATATTACCAGTCTTGGATCAATCCGAAATACCCAACTACTTAAATCCTTCGACCCGTGCCAGTAGCTATTCCGACAACATTATTAGCCTGCTCGACGGAATAGAAGCGGCTTGCCCCGAAATTCCTTCATGGCCAGGCCATTGCTCGTTGTTCCGATATGGCGACCTTTTAAAAAGACAATTGCGCGATTTATCGTGATAATCGGGGTTGCCGGCATCTGGTATCACGAATTGCGTGGCATTTCGAAGGTTTACCAGAGGAATCTGCCATTTATGCGAAGACAATATGAAGACGAAGACCACGATTAAGCGGCAAAGTGGCGGTATTCAGCAGCGGCAGCCTCGAAACAAGAACATCAGCTGGATTCGCGGTCTTTGGTTCCGTTTGGGCTAGTCGTGTCAAGCTGCTCGTACGACGACCCTATATCTCAGTCTATTGGTCCTGCCATCCGAGGAATGGGACACAATGGGACTGGGCAAAGCCAACGGAAACAGCGGGATGGAAGGACGATGGCTGCAAACGGAGTCGGAGATCCACGAGTTCGCGGAGTTTCGAGCTGTTGGAACAATGGCAACTTGTCCGCTTCTCTCGTGTTCCCTGCTGGATTACGCAGAGGACGCCTGTCCCGGTATACGTGCCTGATAAATAGTTCCTCCTTCTTCGTATAATTCCGGGGATCCACGGTATTGGACTGCACTGCGGAATAGCCGAGCCGAACCCGTCGAGAGAGGCGCCGGTCCCTCAACCGCGTAAATCGGTGTAAAGCCCTGCCTGAAATTGTTTCGTCGACAAGAGAGAAAAAAAAGGAATACGGTCGCTACTACACCGTCTTGAAGAGAGTAGCGCAATGAAAGGACAAAATTGCACCCGCAGACTAACAAATTGCGGGCTTATGTGCGATGAATGAAACCGCAGAAGACAGCCAGATGAAAACTGTGGCGTGCTTTTTATTACGTGATGCAATGTGGTTCAATCGTGCACAGAGATAGAGTAGTATTCAAAAGTGCCTGGACACATACTTAATTTCGTCAAGATGTATTTCTATCGTAAAACAAATACTGCAGTACGACGATTTATTATTTATCTATAATTTCTGATATACTTAAACATTTTAATTACAAAAGTGATAATTAAACCGCGGATTTTTATACGTTTATGGAAATTTAAATGTACGAAATATACAAAACGTACGCGATACATAACATATATAAAATTTCCAATGCTCTCATTATGGTATTCAAAGAGTGAAAGAAATCTCGATTTTGGTTCCATTTGAATTCTATTCGCGGCTATATTTTAATATAAATGATACTACGAAGCCTACTGTGAGTATATAGAGATATAAAACAGATTTAATTATCCCGTCATAACGCAAAGACTGACAAAACGTTGTTATCAGAATCTGACGTATTTATGCTTGAACAGAAAATTAAAAATCCCACGTAGTTTCATATCGACGACCATAACTTACCTTCTTTCTTTTTTAACTCGTTCGTCGGGTTATTCAGGTCCGGCAACCGAATAGCGAAAGACAATATCGAATCAAAAGATAAAGGCCGATAAATAGCCGAACCGGGGCAAAGTAATATTTTTTCAAACATCAATAACGAAGAATCGGTGGAAAAAATGACTACATTTCGAGGGACACGGTATCTTATCGTAAGAAGATCAACGTTCGTCAGGCCTCTATAAATTCTGAAAAGGCAGACTAGCCAATACCGAGAGCTCGAGTCGCAAGCTCTGAGCTTGCGAAATGCCGTTTGCGACCTGATTAATGGACCAGGCTTATGTACCGCAGGCCTTCATCCACTTCAACATCGAGGGCCATCGACTCGAACATTCATCCTCTCGAGCATCTTCGTAATGCGCGTTGCTAGAAGACGATAAGTTAAAAGAAGTGGAAAAAGACCGATAACGATGCTATTGCCTGATCCTCTGTCGATATATTAAAAAATAAACGAACGCTGTGTTTGAACTTCTGAGAAAGCTCGTCTTTCCCATTATAAAATACAAATCTACTTGACGGGATTGCAAAATATTAATTCAACAAAGCGATGTATAGTAGAGGCATTCGTTACAGTATTGCTGGTTTAAGATTAATCAAGATCAAGAATATTTTCTTGAAGGGAAAGTTTGGTACTTTATTAATAATTAAAGGAAAAAGTAGAAAAACGAAGGGAAAGAAAATTTTATTGGTGGAAGGCTCATGACACGTGTAACGACGTTATGAAACAAAATTTCTTAGAAGAAAATATTGGATTGAAATAAAATGTGCATTGTACAATAGAACGACATCTATTGTTTGATCAAATACGATATATTCCATATATATACTGCAGATATATCGTATCATTGAACATAAAATTAATGCTCTCCGATACAATTATAATTAAGAACAACAAAAGCTTCTTAAATGATATTATCACCTAACGTCTGACCAAACGCGATACGTTCTACTTTCGGTATCCACGCAAAATATACGTATTACTAATTTAATACACGTTCAGAATAAATATAGTTATAATTAAAAATATGTGTAGCAATATTATCAGACATTAAATTTTAATCCGTCATGTCCGTGTTACTTATCCAAATTAATATCAATTTCCCTCTCCGTTGGAAAATCTCAAACATACGATGCGTTAAATATAGTCTGACTAACCGTGGGGCGTTTTCACTTGGGCCATAATCCGACACGACAACGAAACGATCAAGGGAAAGAACGAAAAATGAAATTTCGGATTATCGTCTGTTCTTGGATGTACTGTGGAGTGGCCGTGAGCGAAACAATTTCCTCACTCTCGCGACTGGCGCAAAAAGAGACGATAGTGGCGCTCGACGTCGGCAGGACATCCGGACATAACTCGGGCGTAATCGTACCCTGGATAACTGGCTATCCGCTAGAAACCAGATAATTCCACGCTCTTCCTGCATTTCGTCCCAGACCACTTTCTCGTTCGAGAGGCGAATTGGCTGGTTTAAAAGGGGCGTAAGGGATGGGAACAAAGTGGAAGATAAAAACTACGCGAGAATGATCCTCTTACGCGAGGACAGTGACGAGATGCGGAGGAAAAAATAAAAAAGAAAAAAGGGGAAAAGGTAAAGAGGAAGGAGATAGGGTTTACAGAGGAAGGGAAATGAGGGAAATGCAAAGGGAAGAACATTTGTTGCCAACAATAAAGATTTAATGTTGTGTGTCCGGATCGAGTGAAGAAACAACTATGATCCTGCTTCTTGGCTCCTCTCTCTCTCTCTGTTACAAGCAAATCCGGATACGACGAAATGAATTCTAAAAACGTTTACGTGACACATGGAATGCACTTTATTGTGGTTTATTTGCTCATTTTTTAAATTCCGTCTATAAAAAAAAATAGCACGAGAAAATAAAACATGGTTACATTTATGACACAGGATACGTACACAAAAGTATTTAGACACTTATGTAGGAAATTTTATATCGCAGTTTTCTGCGTACATGTCTACTTTAATTAATTGTCACATTGTCGTAAAAAATTAATAACATTTACTTCAAATTTAAGACAAATCAGTGTAATTACCCAAAGTGAAGCTGTATCCATTTAAACAAACATAGTCTTATTGGACGGTTTAGTATTCAATAAATAATGTTGTCACTGAAATATTGAAATAAAGACATTTTTTTAGGAAAAGGACTGGTTCGCGTGACACCAAGAAGCTGATAAAGGACCAAGGTCAAAGAAGATCGGTGGGAAAAGATGCTACAACCGCTGGCACGATCGACGGGACCAGCAACGTCAGAGGGTCGGTAATTGGCTGTTACATTTTAAACAACCTGCCACCTGTACTTTAATTTACCTTTATTTCCGTCCGGGGAATTTTCGTTTCCGTTTTTACAGAGGTTCATAACTAGCCACGACTCCTGACCGGAAAAATGCTCTTTCGCAGATCCGCTACTCGACTATCCTTTGTTTTATTCTCAATGTCGCAGCAAGCAACGCGATCGTCCGCGCCGTCACACTTATAAAATACAAAGCGTACCGAGTTAGTCAATAAAAAGAAAGTGAAAAAAGAAAACCGAACTTTAGTAGTTCCAAGAACATTACCAAAGTAATTGCGAATAAAGTGTAAGAGAAACGCGTCGGCTAGTATCAGAAAAAAGGATGGAAGAAGGGAACGAAATTTCAATTTAGTAAATCTAATAGTTTTTCGGAGAATATCTAACAACTAGAGCTATCAAAGCTCTTTTTGAAATTACTAAAGAACTGTTGTGAGCAAATGTGAAGTGATACTATAATTAAATAATTGCGGTAATTTACTATAATTAGGGTGAAATGAATCAATATACAAAATAATATTTATTGTCTATATATTTAAGAAGATATTTAGGTATACAATTTCGTTTGGTGTCCTTTTCGATACAGTTAAAGTTTCTTGAATAAATCTCTTGTTTTCCCCCTTTGGAATTTTTAAATTTACAGCCTGGCTTGCAAAACAACCCTCGACTTCTTTAAAAATTCATAGACATCATTTTATGACAGCTTCTAAAAATTTCATTGAACAAGACAGTGTTAGCTTTAAGCGGATAGAGGAGGTCATAAACAAAAGTCTTTCCTCCGGCTTTTATTTCACGTTTCAACAGTGTCTCTTTTTATTGCTCGTTGGTCAGCGCGCGGCTCGTTTACGTCGCTGAACGATTCAATTCATAAAATAGCGGAGAGCCGTGCAAAGATGAGCGAAAATAGACGGCGAAAGCGCGACTTAACCGGATTTGGAGTATCCTCGACGAGGATCTCATCAAAACATAGTTGAACAAACTATGCTCATCTCCGTGTAAACTTTCGCTTCTTTTACGGCAGGGGTCGTGATGAACTTATGCTCTACTATCGAAGAAGGGTAGCATAAATATTACTTAGACCATAAATAACTCTTCCTTGTCTAGACGCGAGATGCTTAAGAAAGAGGAGATATGATACGAAACAAAGTACTATCATAAACGTTCGTTTCAAAATCTGAAAATTAAGAATTCGTTCAAATCAAAGGCAGCGTGGAGTAAATCGAGATATTAAGAATTTTGATTTAGCCACGTGCTTTAACTTCTAAAACAGTTTGATCCTCTTAAGTTCATAATTATAATAATTACGATATAACTTTGTTCTTTGTAGCGATACGTTTTTATTATCTGATCAAATACAATGGAATTTTTATAACAATAAACGTAGAATACTCTTTCGTGGAAACCAATACTGCATTGACTTACATTTCTATGCTTCTCAGCCTCCCAATTAACCCTTATTATGTAAGTTGAAATTGTATAGCACGTATTCAGATCTGCTGGCTTCAAGAATTCAAAATTTCTCTGTTTTCGCTTCAACAGATATTTTTCTCGATTTAATGTGTCTTTATTGGTGCATGAGAAACCATTGAAGTGTTATCAAAATGTAAAAATATAAACAAATCTGCTTCTCCATAATAATTATAATAAACTAAACGTTGTACCATAAATTCAATAGAAAATCGCAGAATTTTACTACGTCACAAGTTTATGGAATGTACAAAGTGTGAAAATTCTCTAACAAGGTATCTTTCAAATATTTCCACTTAATTTTGGGTTATTGTAGCTAAAAAAAAAAAAAAGAAATCTGATGGTTTGGCCGTTTTTCGAACTTCCAGAGTTTCATCCAAATCGGAGCCTCGTGATCTTCTTTTATCAGTTGAAAGGCCAGTTCCGTAAAGATCTCGGTTGAAATCGATGTTAAACGTGCAGCTGATCGGAAAAACGATATTCCTTTTTGTCCCACGAAGCTTAACCGACGTCGTATGAACCAAAGGAATAGCGAGAGGGACGAAATCGAGGCATCTCCATAAATATTAATTGAGTCTCCATTGGTGTCGTCGTACGAAAGCGCGGAATTTCCAACAACGATCGTGCGGTATTCGGTAGAAAACGAAAATCCGCAAGCCACAGGGCCATAAATTCTCAAGTTTCTGCGGCTGTCTCTGGCAACCCATGGAATGACGAAGAGGGAGTAGAGAAACTGGATGGCCGCTTCCTACCTTCAACTCCCCTCTGTTCGCTTCAGTTGCTGCAACTCGTCGCTTCCTTCCGTTTTCTATTATGTTACGTATATGTATCGTTTTGAAGCGTTCAAAGCGAGCTGTCTTGCGTCTAGAAAGAACCCGTTATCCAACTATACCAGTTCGTTTCGTTGGTTGTTTAACTGAATAATCGAGAATTATCGATTGTTGCGATGTTCGTGTGACATTTAATTTTTTTGGTTCATTAATGATGAGTAAATGTAAATGAAAAGATCGAGAAATTGAATAGGAAAGATTCGATGTAGATGGTGTAATTTGATAAATTATTATTACGCTTAGTTTACGGCTAAAGACAAAAAGTAGGAGAAAGGGTGAGATTAACAATTGTTATTGTATTCTTCTTGTATTTACGTATTACTTATATATCACGTATCGTATGTATTTTAAACCATAATCTTACATGAATGATCGCTTTGTTAAGATGATTTCGATTAATCGAGAAAATAACTACCATAGATATCCTTAAATAATAATTTTACATACGAATAGGAGTGTATGATTAAAGTAATGGTCAATTTCTAGGTAGTATAAAATTCACGAAATTCTAGAATTAATACGATATAATTTTCCAGTATATATAAAACGTCATACGTCATCCAACATATAAAAAATGATTCACTATAATAGTAAGGAATTACCGTCGAGCTCAATGTCTCTGACCATGAATGACCGGATTACGAAAGTGAATAAAAATTTCAAACAAACGTGGAAGGTCGCTTTAAAAGGTCTCGGTTGCTTAAATCGGGCTGCGGAACGGTCGGACAATTTTTCTTCTGCCGTATGACGGGAAAAGTTGCTTTCCCACGGCCCTGAGAACGATTGATCGGGGCACACGTGAACTCACAATCGCTGATCGTTGTGCCGCATTTTCTGATCGCGCGTCGCATGGAGAATTTTTCCCAGAAGATTACCAGCCCGGCAAATAGCCGAAGCTTTCAAGAATAGCGTAACACCTTGACCGACTATTTCACCTTCTTGCATAGAAGTATTAAATTTACCGATTGCTATAGAGAATGACGTTTCGCGTATTGCTCACAAGCCGCATTCCGCGCGACGTTAAATGAGGAATAGACTAGCTCAATTTCCCAAGTGCATTCTTTCGCGGCTGATAACTAAACTGGCTTGGCACACCATTCCTTTCAAATGCAATTGGAAAACAGAACGGAAAAGTAAATAACACGAAATAAGGTAAAGCGTTCCTCGACATGGGAGAATTAATCTTTCGCGTATACGGGATTGTTTTCAATCGATCGAATTACAGTTATCAAATTATCAGTTATCGAATTACGATATAAAGTTTTCTATGATAAGTGTTCAAATATCGTGATTCTTCGTATATACAGACTTTACACAATTTCCTTGCTATTAAAACGATTTTCTTTCTTTACATTTTTATTTCTTTGTATTTTATTTCTATTATTCTTAAATAAAATACAAATTCTCGGTCGTGCCACTGTAAACATACAGTGAAATACAATAAAACATACAGAATATACAGTAAAATTTTAAGCAAGTAACTTTTCATTCGGATGAATAGCGTACGCAGTGGAAACAAACCGAAATAAGTCAGACATCGTATATTCCGTATATTGTTGGACGAACAGCCGGATGGATTTCCACGTTATCATAAACGACATACTCCAAAAAATCTACAGGCTTAAAATCATAAAGCTATCGCGAGCAGACAAAAAATCTACAGGAACGCAAATATTCCGAATGATTGTTCTTCTTTCTTTGGGAAAGTGGGGGAGAATTTACGAGAAGGAGGTTATAGGCTTTGGAAATTTTTCATCGCAAAACGCAGAAACAAATCATCGGGTTAGAATGCAACGAGAGAGCGTACCGTTCCCAACAGCGTTTCCATAGTCACACACACTCGACGCATGCATATTCATCCAAAGAATTTCCGTTGCAAGCGACTCTCGACTATTCTTTCACACTCTAGTCATTACTGTCGTTATTACTCCGGTTTTATTAAACGAAACGTGTCGCTTACTTAATGAGTAGCAAGGCACATAGACTTTGTATTTTTCTGAGAAATTAAAAATTTTTTATCTTTCTAGAAAAATAATTAAATAATTTTTTTAAATGCTAATCAATCGATGCTGACTATCATTTATATTATTATAGGTATAATATTAAGATAATAATATTATAATAATATAATTTATATCAGTATTATTATTATTATTATAAATATAATAATATTTGCAAAATTGGATAATCAAATATTGGATATAAATAGAACTTGCGTTGTATTCTTGATAATAATAAATTGATGAAATGAAAAGATATATTTTTTAATTGTACAAAATAACGATTATTATCATGAAAACCTGGAAATGCTACGTTTGTTTAATCGGCGACTCTATTAGGAAACTTGCGATTCGAGGATCTATCTTGGTTCGAGTAAAGAAAGATGAAAAGAGGACGCGACGTGTACGGGCGACAAAAGAATAAGTGGCTATGGTCTAGCAGAGGCAGAGGAAAACGATGTTGGTGTAAAGAAGAGCACGGTTGGCTGATGACAATAAAGCGCTATCTGACTTCCACTCCGAGTCACTTAACGTCTGTAAGGACATTTAAAATCCTTAAGCGTGCGGACCATTTGACTTATAAAACACTACCATACCATCTACGGCGCAACTACTTATTATAACGACATTATCCTGGCTGTTCTTCATTAGCTACCCCATCAGCGACACTTCCTTCCACCTCTTTTCCCATTTTGATGCCAGTCGCCCGTTACAAACAACGAACAGCGCCCCGGATAAGGGGAGAATTCTTTTCCCCTCCGCTATCGTCCTTCTTCCTTTTTCTTACGGCCAATTCCAACGCGCTTTTACTCTCTTTCTTTCTCCTCGACGTCGCGTCATGGCTATAACCGAATTAATTTCGGTTCGATGCACGCAGGCACGTGTAATCCGGTTATCGTGCGCACAGGTTGTTACGTTATAATT